GGGCATAGATCCAAGTATATGGCTGTCTTTGTGTGCGCAAGATCCCGGGTTCCATCCCCAGTCCCTCTTAAAAAGACCCCCATTTCTGCCACTGTGTAAACAAATACTATCAGAGTACTACACATACTCAGGAGGAATTGGAATTAGATTTGAGGGATCAAATTTTTAATTTTAAAATGTTGTGTTTATTTTTATTTTATGAGTGTGTGTGTGTGTGTGTGTGTGTGTGTGAGCGCGTGTGCGCATGCACCCAATGCATGCAGTGCCTAAGAAGGCTAGAGAAGAGTGTCAGATCCCCTAGAGCAGGAGTTATATGGACGATTGCGACCCACAATGTAGGTTCTAGGAACAGAAGCCAGGTCTTCTGGAAGAGCAGCCAGCGCTCTTACCTGCCGAGCCATCTCTTCAGCCCTCATGAGTTTACTTTGTGGCCTGCATACATTGCAGGTGGCCATTCACTATTGCAGGGAGTCAGGCAGTTATTATTAAGTAAGCCAGTTTGGAGGTCAGTGGAGAACTGTGGGAAACAGCACCTGGCGTTACCTGGTAGGGACTGGAAAATATCCCTCATTCCTATTAATATATATTCACTTAGCAAATCTGTAGGGAGCACCTAGTGTGCCTGTCAGGCACTGGGATGGATCCTGGGTGGGGCACAAGGACAGCCTCTACCTTCACAGAGTTTTGTTACAATTTAATTAGCTCCCTGGGTTCTGAGACACTTCTCTGGGCACTGGGAAGTACATAGAATCAACTCGAGCATCATAAATACTGACCTGCTCTCTGACTCAGCAATTTGGGAAGCACTTCGGCTTTTCAGAAAGTGCTATCTATGGATTTGGACAAATGACAGATTTGCCCAATAAAATGTCTAAGGACTACCTTAAAATGAATCAGAAGAGACCGTTTCAACCCAATGAGTATCTATAAACAGACAGCCTTTGAGAATGGAAAAGCTTACAGGGATGGAAGGCAGAAATCTGACCTCAGTCCGTTCTACCCTCAGTCTCACGAATGACCTTGATGGAGCCTTTGACTCATCTGAACTTCAATTTTCTCTTCAATAAAGTGAGCCCATCTGATCCCATGTTTTCAAACTCCTGATTGAGTCTTTTCGTTACAGTGTTTATTGTCTTGGGCTAACAGTTACTTTAAAGTAAAAGCAGGAGTTCCCAAGGGGATGCTTCTCTTGAGAGCTCAGTTTTCAACAGAAGAAAGCTTTTAATATATTTTTTTTCAAATGGAAATTGTTCTTTTCTCGACTGTAAATACGATACATGCTCAGTGAGAAAGTAAAAGCGGAGGAGAGTGCAGAGAATAGAGAATTATTGAGAGACACATGTCTGCTTTTAGGATTCTTGCACCTGCTGTGAGGATCCGGTGGCCAACGCTTTAGAAAGCCGGTCTACTTGCCAGCTATTACTATTACCTTGCAAACAGCCTTTTTGGTCTTTAGACAACACGCATGCCCTTACGCACGCTGGAAGCCCTTCCTCTGGAGGCTGTGATCTTAAGTGTTGTCACCAGAGACTGAAACTGGCTGGGCAGTCTGGGATCTCGCCGATGTCCTGTTTCACAACAGCTGCTATCTGATACTTGTGGAATGCTGAAAAACAATAACATCGTGTGCACGACTTCAATGATAGTAGTTAATATCAGGACAGCTCCGTTTGAGCCGTATCCAGGATTGCAACGCCTTCCAAGGCACATCCAGGAGCGCTGGGGTGGACAGTTGTTCCTCCAATCTCCCCAGGACTCCTCCTACCCCTTAACACGAGGTTGAACGCTTCTGGGACACTGGGACTCAGCGGGACATATTTTACTGTCGGCCTAGCATCAGGGGACCATGAGCTCTCTGGTGATAGTTTTCTGATGATCTTTGAGAAGGGATTAAAGTAAGATCTTGGCTGCAGACCCACGAGGCTATTCCCCCTAAGTGGAATGAGCTGCTGGCACTTAATCCCATGTGGCGATCACCTGGGATTGAGGGGCGGTGTTCTTCATCTCGGCATCCTACATCCTTACTCTTATCTGATTTGCTAACTAAAGTATGAGCATCTACTAGGCACCAGGCACTATGCAAGTCCCAGAGAACACAGGGGCATCCAACACCGACCCATCCTTAGAAGTGCTCACAAGCCAGCAGAGGAAGAGGGCAAGAGGAAATGGCTGGGCTCAATGGTGTAGCAACTGCCTAACATACACAAAGCCCTGAGCTGGATCCCAGCCCCACAGTAAATTCATAAAGCACAGTATGATAAATACAGCTCTTGCCTGCCCTGTCCTGGGAGGCTAGGAGGCTTGATTGCCAGTCGTGTGTGAAAAGTTTCAGAGGGTGACTCAGAGTTCAGCGAGCAGACGGAGTGGTGGGAAAGACTGCAAACAGTGGAGGTGGTGTTGTGTCCTGTTGTGCAGGTGCACCTTGCAGCAATCGCCTTCCTCCCGACTGAGGATGACTGTTAGGAGCCTCTGTCCAACTCACACCTTCCTCCTGATGCAAACCCTGGAAGCTCGTCTCTACCAGGAAGAGTCCACTTCAGCTTCACTCACTCCCGGTTGCTTCTGTGGAGACAACGCTCCCATCCTGAGCTAACTGCCCGTCATTCTGTTGTCAGAGCGGTTTCTTTCAGAACCTGACACATGAAGAGGAGATGACCCTTGCAAGCAATACCTTCTTATCAAATACCTAGTCATATACGTCACTGGGGGGGGAGGGGGTGCAAGCATCTGAAGAGGCCAGAGTGACATCAGGTGTCTTTCCTCTGTCATTTTTCTACATTACTTTTGAGACAGAGTTCCTTGGGATTGCGATTCTGGCTAAACTGGCTGGTTAGCAAACCCAGGGATGTTCTTGCCCATCGCCCAGTGCCTCCCCCAACCCCAGCTACAGGTTACAAAGTCAGCCAGATTACAAAGTGACTTTCACATGGGTGCAGAGAGCTCAGGTCCTCATGCTTGCACAGCCAGCACTTGCAGACTGAGCTGTCCCCCACTCCAACAGTCCGCTTTTGACAACAGCCCAACTGAGAAAAAAATGAACAAGAACAAAAATACAACCCAAGAAAGATTTATTTAGTGCTTGGTATTCAATTAAAAATTCAGTTAAAAAATAAAATACCACCTGCCATCCACCCAACCCTGAGTAAATAGCACTGTGCACCAAGTACCCTGTTACCAAGTGCTTAGCACCTAGCAATCTTGCCAAGCTACAATATACACAGAAGTTAGCTAGTCATACGTAGTCATACGGATAAAAAAAGGTCATTACAGTAAGTGTCTTACAGAGCAATGTTCAAAGTGTTGGCTGTGCCCAGGAGCGCTGGGCTGGTATTGTAGAGAACACGAGCTTGCATTACTTTATTATACTATTTTCTCAACAGACACAAATACAGGGTAGTATTATACAACACAGACCCACAGCCCCCTTTCCAGCTTTATTCAGGAGTTGCTCGCGGTCCCTTGTGATTTACCTCTGCTTTCCCCAGCCCTTGGTTTTGGCAGATTCTGGATATTTTTATTCCTGCTCCCACAGATCCTGAGCTGTGTTTGAAAAGGGAACTGGGAATGTGTGGGTCTCCACTAATAACTCCCTTGCCTCAGCTGGTCTCCTGCCCTGAGAGTGCAGGTTATACTGATTCCTGTCAATGACTCCAAAGCCTTGCCTGCTTCCAGGGTGAAGACCCCAAGACTTTCCTGGGGCTTTTGGTCTAAGGGAGGCTGTGCTGGTGCAGCGAGAGCCCCATCCCACCTTACCTGGAACGCTGCCCAAATGTTCTGATCCTTAGTCCTCCTAAAACTTAATCTTCTGAGCTGGGCTTGGTGGTGCACACCTTTAACCCCAGCACTTGGGAGGCAGAGGCAGGAGGATCTCTGCGAGTTCAAGGCCAGCCTGGTCTACAAAGTGAGTTCCAGGACAGCCAGAGCTACACAGAGAAACCCTGTCTCGAAAAACAAAAATAAAAACAAACAATATTTTTTTTCTGGAAGTTTGGGCACCTAATGTTTGCACAATATGACAGCTACTTCCTCCACTCCCAAGCATTTTCAGCAACGTCCAGGGAAACTTAAGGCAGTATGTATAAGGCTTGCTCTGTAGGGTGAGCTCACCCAGAGTTGCTTACTGTCACAGCCTTGATTGATCTGCCTGTATGGAAAGCCTGGCCCCACCATTTGAACATCCAGCCTTTCAGACTTTATTTTTCCTGAAAGGTAGGAATCCATGCAGTTAACTAGACACCCCCTCCCCGCTTCACATCTGCAATCTTGTGCATGCGCGCGTGTGTGCACAGAACCCCCTGATCCAGACCACCATCTACTCTTAACATGGAACGGCCTGGGGCACCCGTTATCTTACGCTCCACCCAGCCTCTTAATGACGTCCATAATACCTTACCCCTACAGCCCCATTTAAAACCCTTCCATTCTTTCTGGTACCCAACCGCAAACCCAGCAGGAGGAAAACAACGTCCTTGCCATAGCCTTGCAAAAAGGAAGCGCTTCTCTCGCTTCACCCACATCTTCAATGAATGCTTCCTGCAGACTCCGCGCTCTGCCCAGGAATAACGGACGTGAACGGAGTAAGTCCTCAGCTTCACTCTGCATCTCAACTCCGTCAACAATGATAGTACTCGGATAACCGAGACTCGGATTCGTATTCGCTTCCGCCGATCAGCTAAACCCTTCCTCCCAAAAGCAGCCCAAACTCCGTCCTCCCTGGGTGCGCCCGCGGCTCAGAGCCCAGCCCCGGAGGAAGAAGGCTTCTGATTGGTTGCTGCGAGATGGGGCGGAATCCGGGGGAGGCGTCGCGGAGAGATGATGCAACGTCGCGGAACCTTAAAGGCACCGACCGCACGCGCCGCCGATGGCGCAGGCGCGTTGCTGGGCTTCCAGCTCTGACTCCAGCGCTACACTGAGTCCGGTCGGGCGGACGCGCGGAGTGGACGGCGGGGACGCGCGCGGGATTCGGGCCGGCGGGCGGGCGGGCGGGCGGGCGGGCCGGGTGGCGGCGGAGGAGCTGGAGGTGCGATGGCCGAGGGCAGCGCTGTGTCCGACCCTCAGCACGCCGCGCGCCTGCTGCGGGCGCTCAGCTCGTTCCGGGAGGAGGCGCGCTTCTGCGACGCGCACCTGGTCCTCGACGGCGAGGAGATCCCGGTGCAGAAGAACATCCTGGCGGCGGCCAGCCCGTACATCAGGTGAGCGGGCGCCGCCGCCCATCGCCTCCGCATCCCTCCCTCCCTCTGGCCTGGCCGCCCGCGGATCCCGTGGTTCCGCCGCCACGCCTGTCGGGGACCCCCATGGGCCTCTCCCGGAGGCCCCCTCCCCACCAAGATCGCCCTGGCCCCGGAGACCCGGGAGGTCTGCAAAACCCCAAACGCGGTGTACAGGCCGTCTTGGGACCCGCAGCCGCGAACAGGGCGGGGCTGCTCCGGGAAGAGCTGCTCGTTCGCCCCGACAGGCCCCGCCCGGCCCGCCGAGCCCCGCAGAAGTTTACCTCCCAGTCACCGCACAGTGGGCAGGGCCGGGTTCTGCGCGGGGAAACCAAACAAACACCCGCGGTGTTGGCCGAAGGAGAACCCCGTAAGATCTCGGTGGTACCCACCCCCACCCCCACCCTCAAAGCCCAACTGTCAGTTTGCCACTCCCTTGTTACAAAAAGGTTAAACTGTTGCGAATTTGGAAAGACCCACCGGGATTCTTTGGATACATTGTAGTCGAGGACCCAGAGATTGTAACCACCAAGAGAGCACTGTAAAACTTCAGCGACCAAACCTTAGCTTGATTTACCAGGGTAGTGAAAAGGTTCAGACCCAGCTTATAGCATCGGGTCAGAATTTGCAAGGAGGCTGCTGTCTTTTCTTTAGCAACTTTGCTTCAGGCAAAGTGGGTTGCTCTTTTAATACCGGAGGCGGGCGAGCTAAAAGCTGGAGAAAGTGCCCAGTAAGCTGGTTAAATATAGACTAATGGTAGACAATGTCACTAGAATTGGCAAGTCAGAAAAAGGAAAATTATGTGTATGCCGTTCTGAGAGCTCTGTCCCAGCAGAACTCAGCACATACGCTGTACTTTAATCTTTGGTTTTTGGAGACATTGGAACTTAAAAGCAATCCAAGTGCCCTTGAAACTTTTGGCTTCTTCTGTCCTAGCCTTGCCTTGTAACATTGTGCTCTTTGTGGACTAAGGGGTCAGGTGTCTTTGTTAATATGAAATTTAGATCACCAATATGACAGCTCATAGCTGGCAGTTCATAGGTTAGGACAATCAATCAAATTAGATCTGCAGGCCAGACCTTTCCCGGATCCAGAAGCAGTCCCTGTTTGGGAAATGCTTAGGAAAACTCCAGTGGATTCGATATTGTTGCAGATCCTTCCGTGGCACCTGCCTCTAAAGTTGCTCATCCTGAAACAGTTACTGTCTCCGTCTTTCCTCATGGCACTTACCACTGTAACAGAACCTGTATTTTGCTCATCTTGGTGCATCTTCCTCAGCCACAATGTAAACCCAGGCCAAGGATTTTTCTTTTGTTTCTTACCCAGCCCTTCGCAGAGAAACTAGTACTTGGTGCCAGAATAAACGCATCGAATGAATGATCACCTTCCTTTCATTGGACATCAGAGGGTTATATTAGCTGGCTGGCTATGCTCTGGGCTCGATGTTTGGAGATCTGCTTCATGTTTCAACTCTTAACCTGCCTAGCTTCGAGTTGTTGGGGATGACTTAGTCCTGACTCCAGCTCACTCGTGACAAAGGAGGGACACAGTGTGTTTTTGTGTCATTTAGTCTTGGAGGCTCCTACAAAGAAATGAGTTTCAGACACTACATCTCCACACAAGTCTGTTCCCTGGTTAGGAAAGATCTCCTGTGGTTCATGTCTGTCTGTCTGTCGCTTCCCAAATAAAGGATAGATCTTCTGTGGTTCATGTCTGCCATCACTTTCCAAGTAGAAAAGTATTACCTCAGAGGATCTGAAGTATATCAGGGTTACTGGTACTTAGTGGTTGAACTAGGATTTGAATCTAAGTTTATGGTGCATAGTCTCTTGTTCCTACTGCTCCAAAAGACAGCGTGGCCTGTGTTTGGATGTACTTTGGAGAACACCAAGATTGATGGTTTATAGGATGTTGCCATTTAAATGCTTGTCAAGCATGGTCATTCATAGACTTGAGTTTCATCTTTAACCAGTTTTTTGCAGTTGGTTAACATTTTATGTTAATATTATGTTGTGCTTAAAATTACACATTGTTAACATTTTATCAATAAATCAATTTTTAATATAAATATTGAATTTTCTTTATTGGAAGATTGTGTTAAATTTGACTACTGAAATGCTAGAATTTTGTGGTATTTTTAGATTATCAATTTCAAGGATATTTCAAAGTATCTGAATTACTAATTAAAACACAGCTTGGTTTTTTATTCATTTTTACAATATTTTTATTGGATAATTTCATACTTACATGCAGTGTGTCTTGATCTTGCATTTTAATGGTTTTTTAGATTTATTTTTATTTTACATGTATTCGTATTTTGCCTGCATGTATGTCTATGCACCATATATGTGAAGTGTCTGCAGAGGCCAAAGAGGGCATTGAATCCTCTGGAATTGGAGTTACAAATGGTTGTGGGCCTTGTGGGTCCTGTGTTCTCTGTAAGAGCAGCCAGTGCTCATAACTACTGAGCTATCTTTTTAGGTCTCTAGTTTAATAACTTTTGACCCCAATGCTATTGGACTTTTCTAATGTAGCTTTGTTGAAATGGCACTTTCGAGACTACAGTGAAACAATATATAAGCACTTAGAGTTGGGTTATGTCTGTGCTTTGTGGTTTTGATGTTTTTGTTTGTTTTTATTTTCTTTCCTTTTTTTGGTTTTTCAAGGCAGGGTTTCTCTGTGTAGCTTTGGCTGTCCTAGAACTCACTCTGTCGAACAAGCTGGACTTGAACTCATAGAGTTCCATCTTTTTCTGCTGCCTGAGTGCTGGGATTAAAGACATGAGCACCACTGCCTGTCTAATTTGTGATGTTTTTAATCTGCGAATCTAAAAGTATGAATTTGTTCCCTGTTCTTAACCTAGGTAGAAAAAACGTCATCAGAGGTCTAAAGTTGGGTGGTTTAAGAAGCCAGATCAACTTTGCCACTCCAGGAATGAAGGCAACTTGATTGACATATAGTCTACTTACTACCCAAAAGTCTTGCTACATAATGTACTGGTTTAATCTTTTCATGTGCTTTTCCTTGGTTTAACATTTATTTTTTTTCCAGTAAATAGCCATTCCAACCATGCGACATTAGAAATATTTTAAGTAAAAAAGTCAGAAAACTCAGTTTCAGCAACAAATTCCTTCTAATTACCTGAAAGGTCTGAGGTTGGGCCTGTGTAGAGGGTGTCCTGAAGTTTGACATCATGACACTCAGGGGAGATGGGCAGGTTCTCCCATGATTTATCACTCAGCTCTGAAAATGGAAATGGCACCTTAGAGACTCGGTTGAAACAAAATGAATATAAGCATTTATATTCTAGCAGGCTGTTTTCCCAGTGCCATCCCTGGCTGGCATTTGCTTCTGGCTTGTTGGGAAAACTATGTCTCAGTGCAGCTAAGAGCCCTAGAAAAGGACAAGACTACACTCATAGACATGATGCTCCCCCGTCTTTTCTGCCTTAGCAACTCTGCCTTCCCCAGGGAATAGCCTCTTGGGTTATAGGACATTTCTTTGGAATACTGCAGAGCTTGCCTTGCTTTCTGAGGCTCTTCTGAATCCAGCCCCATGTTGTTGACCTGATGGAAGCTCTGAACCCCCCACTTCAGCTGTGCTTGGAGACGATGCAGGTGACAGGGGTTTGAAAATGACTCTTTCTGTGCCTGTGAAGTGACATTAAAGTGGCTCTGTACAGAGGTCCAGGTCCTGGAAAGTCCGGTGCACCTTCCAGATTTTTATACATTTCTGGGGACCTGTTACCATACTGTTTAGCATTCAGTCCTGGAGAGCACAGAGTTACCACGATTTTTTTTTTTAATCTTTGATGAGTCAGTCAGCAATGGAAATGGCTTTGTTTCTTTGCTTTCTGGTTGGTCTAACAAGGGTGGAGTGAGAAGCCTGGCCATCTGAACTTTTGTAGGACCCAGTTTCTTTATATGTGGGGTGAAGTTGACTGTGTCACACGAGGCCAAATTCCAAGTAACGTGGAAGCTTGTGGCTCGTTTGCTTTGCACGTGCATGGTGGAGGGATAGTCTCTTTCTAGTTTTGTGTGTTGTTATGTGTACATGTGTGTGGTGGAGGGATAGTCTCTTTCTAGTTTTGTGTGTTGTTATATGTACATTGATGCTGAAGTGCTCCCCTTGCCTTGCGCTGCAGGACTTTGTCTGGTGTTGTGTATGAATGCAGCCGTAGCATTGTGCCATAAGGAGCATTGTGTCATACTGTTAGCTTGGGTACATTCCAGGCCTAGTTATTGGCAGTCCTGCGTTGACATCTAGATCTAAGATTTGACTTATGGATGAATGGTGTGGAGGAAAATACTGAAGGAAGTTAGCCTCAGCTTTAGAGGGGAGCCAAGTTTCATAGTGGCATAGAAACTGTCAACGTCCACTCTAGGGATGGCTGAAAGTTTAAAGTCACTGGGATCTAAGGACTATCCCTAGTGTTGTTCACTATATACAGAGCATGTGGTTAGTTCCCAAAGCCCTTTTTCTTGATTCACTTACACACATAACTAAGTAACCTTTAACCCATCTTTGTTTCCTTGATGCTGAAGCTGAGCCACCCAGGCATCCGCCCCCACTGAGGTCCTTGCTGTGAACCAAAGGCATTGCAGAGTGATGCTCTCCAAACAGTCTTTTGATTTCCTTGACGTTTTCATCTTTTCCCAGCACTTTGAGTTTGTAGTAGCTTCTGAACAATTGCCAGGAGGGTTCTGAGGAACCAGGGTCGCCTACTGCATGTCTTAGGATTCTTCTAGTAGGCTGGGTTCTGTGGTCTGTCTGAGTCTGCACCACTCCTTCAGGCTCATGATACCCTATCCATCTCTTGTCAGGATCTGGGGTGGGGGGTGGTGGTGGTGAGTCTTTTATCTTTTAATGGATCTAGGTCTCATGTGTTTTTATCTGCCTACTATAAGGCTTTCCTAGCAACTGCTTGAAAGGATAAGTCTGAAGCTCTTAGAGTTAAGTGTTCTAAATACGCAGCAGGGAAAGGC